TCCCAGCTACTTGGGAGGCTGAGGCAGAAATCACTTGAACCTGGGAAGTGGAGGTTGCAGTGAGCTGAGATTGCACCACTGAACTCCAGCCTGGGCAACATGGTGAGACTCTGTCTCAAAATAAATAAATAAATAAGCTGGGCACTTGTGTCAAACTTGGGCTCCTCTGCTGCCCAGGACACTGCCACTGCATGATTCCGGGGATAACATTCACATAGTCTAGATGGTGCCTCCTAGAGTTGTGTGCAAACAATGGGGGCTGTTAACCCCATACTCTGCAAGCCTCGCACACCTGGCCCTCATTCAGTGCTAGTCATAACTTGCAGATTTCAGGCCATGTTCTGCAATGAAAGTGTGAGCCGCACTCCCCAAGGATCTACCTCAGCCCAGGAATCATTCACTCTGGAGGAAGCGCTGTACTTTACTGTCTAGCTGTATGCTTTTAGGCCGACTGCAGATCTTATCTGACACAGGCAGAAGACAGCTTTCTTTCACAGAGGTGGCATGAGGCATAAAGGAGTCAAAACACTTTCACAAAACAGCACCCTGGGCCGGGCACAGTGGCTCACGCCTGTAATCCCAGCACTTTGGGAGGCTGAGGTGGGTGGATCACAAGGTCAGGAGTTCGAGACCAGCCTGACCAACATGGCGAAACCCCATCTTCACTAAAAATACAAAAATTACCGCCTGGGCACGGTGGCTCACGCCTGTAATCCCAGCACTTTGGGAGGCCGAGACAGGTGGATCACGAGGTCAGAATATCAAGACCATCCTGGCTAACACGGTGAAATCCCGTCTCTACTAAAAATACACACACACAAAAAAAAGGCTGGGCACAGTGGCTCACGCCTGTAATCCCAGCACTTTGGGAGGCTGAGGCAGGCGGATTACAAGGTCAGGAGATCGAGACCATCCTGGTTAACACAGTGAAATCCGTGTCTACTAAAAAATACAAAAAATTAGCCGGGCGTAGTGGTGAGTGCCTATAGTCCCAGCTACTTGGGATGCTGGGGCAGGAGAATGGTGTGAACCCAGGAGGCGGAGGTTACAGTGAGCCGAGA